TTAGATATAAGGAGCGCTATCAATAAGTTCAATAGGGTGGTCATTTGCTTGTTCGAGAAAAATTCATTCGAGTGTTGATTCTAAATATTTCGGTACTTTTTAATGACTTTATTACAATTTTTGGAAATATTTAGTTTCTGATGTATTATTATTCACGTTTCAGATGGGTCAAAGCTAGGGGAAAAGGTTGGTGAAGAATTGTCAGGATGTATATATCAACACTAGATTCAGACTTTATGTCTACTGCAGCGTGTTTCAAGCCGAGTTGCGCACATTAAGGGGTTATTTTAGTGTAGAATTTTAATAAAACTTAAATTATTTTCGAAGATATAGACATTTTATTGACCCGGCCTTCAAACTGATTCGACTGGGTCTAATCGAACAAAAGACTTAACACGAAACTTTAAATGCGTTTTTCTCAGGCCAGACTTTTTTAATGTGATAGCCACGATTTCTCGAGACCAATTTACTTGAAATTTTCAGAGCATCTTCTTTATAGACTTCTCTCGAGTATGAATTAGCCTCATCCCCAAATTTCAGTTTTTACTATTTTTATTTTGTCATTTTATCAACAATTTTTTTTTTACTTATCGCTAGTTCATACAATTGCGACATCATTGCAGATTGATAACTTTTTTTTTCATTTCAGATGACTAGGAAGAAGAATTCATGGGTTTTCTCATGTGCCAATTTTTTGAGATCCCCCACTTCATCAGCTGTCAGTATTTTAATTTTTTAATTTATTTTTTTAATTTTTTTCTGTACTCTTGTAACATTAATAAATAACTGGTAAAAAAATCGATAGTAAAAATATTGATTGCCTTTTTTACGACACTTTAAAAATTACCTAAAAGGCATGTCTCTAGACTAAAATATCCTCATAAAGAAATATGTATCCACACTGATAGTAGGGCGACTGTACTAGCCTTGATCTCACTAACCGCGCGTTCAAGCCTAGTTAAGGAACGCCTAACCTTACTATCAACGGCATCAAGTCGTTTTGTGTTATGATTAGTATGGAATCTAGACCACAGCGGAATCGGAATGTGGTAACTTAAAAGCTGATGAGCTGGCAAGAAAAGGCACCTTAGCCGCGCTAAGGGACCTGGGAACAGGTCGGAGCTCCGTGCTTTTTGTGCGGTTTGCTACCGGATAGCTGGACTACGCAGGGGCTTGTCCACCGATGGGGTGCGCTCTTCCGCTAACGCAAGTTTCTTTTGGCCCAAAGTGGATCGCAAGATGTCTACTGAGCTTTTTGCACTCAGTAAGCCTAACTTTTCCCTAGTTGTAGCGTTCCTAATTCCTAGTTCCTATATGTAGTAGTCCAAGGACGATATCCATCTTGACGATCAGCTATTGAACCTAACCTAACTTAAGCTACACCACTTCAACTTAAAAACGACTGAACCAATTTTGATGAGCTCAGTTTTATTGAATTTGTTATTATTTTTTTTTTTCTTTTGGCTAAACTGAATTACCCTAATGTTTAAATTAATATTCCATTTTTCGTGCGTATTATCATAACATATGTATGCGGATAAGTAATAGATATTAGCGCTCTATGAATTTATCACTCCTAAATTCATTTTCATTAATATAAAAAAAACCCAAAATATTTAATTAACAAACACTAACGGGTACATACCCTAAATATTATATGATTTTTTGCCCTCTATAGAATAGTGAGTTTATATACATATAGTGTAGTATAGGTTATTCATTGAGAAATTTCGCCGATCAGGTAATTTGATAACGATTAACAACGATGATGTTTTTTTTTTTAATTACATCCTAACTTTATCTGAAAGGTCCGCTAAAAGTCGCTGAATTACTTAACCTGAACTTTTATTGAATATCAGCTTGTGAAATCTCATTATAGCTCTACTGTCTGCTCGCCATAAAAATTAATCCTAAAAATCTAAAAAAAAAAAAAAATTGTAAAAGCTTTCTTGTGTTCCTAAACCACATACATAAGTATGTGCATATTTTTTTAAAATTTTTTTCTCCTTTAACTTTTTTAAACATTCAATTATAATATTTTAGTACCAGATGTCTGTTCTACATTTTGGTTAAAATTGGAGAATTCGTTAAACGAACAAAAATATACGAATATATTTCAACAAAATAAAAACACTGTTATATTTTTGCGAATTTTATGTTGTTGAAATATGTATGTTTTCGTTATTGGCTTATATTAAATTTTTTTTCGCCGCTTTGAAATGTTGAGTTGCCGTCATTTCCGAGAAAGGGGTGGGTATGTATGCGATATGAATTCTGACAAGAGGTTAACGAACTTGAAAAATATAAAAAAGTATTTATAATAATTTGCAATTAGGTAATTGCTTTCTTTAAAAGTACAATTTGCCAAGAATTACTTTTTTAAACTCATTAAATGTATATTTAAAACAAGAGACCGAAACTAGAATACCCTTTACAGGTGCATTTCTTATAGCATAAAATAATATAAAAATCTTTAGCTTGATCGGTCAGCTTGTGCTGTCGTGGAAAATATTCTGCGCCCAATTTCGTGAAGATATCTTGTCAAATAAGAACGGTTTCCAAGAAGGACTTAATTTTGATAGTTCAGTTTATATGGCAGCTCCAATAGTTAGCCAATATCAAAGTAATATAAAAAAGTTTTTGAATAAGTCATAAGTTTGAATAAATCACATCACCTTCTAGTGTAACCTCACATTTATAGATTCGTTGAAGAATAGTCTTCGTTTCTATAGGGAAGATGAAAAAGAATATTTTATTAACTAAATAATAAACGATTTTTCGGCGTAAAAAAATGTATGGAATCACAATTCCTAGCGCAGAAAACTACTAACAAAAAAATTACACATGTCGGCAACACAAGTATACCTTTTTCTCGATTTACCGTTATATCATTATGTTTGCGGCCACACATTTTCTAAAAATATAAGGCATATAAGAATCTGTCAGGATTATATACATATATTATTTTGCTACGTATATTATGTGTCATGCACTTCATTCACAAGAATACTCAGTCAAGTCTGTCAAAGGAAAACAATCATTCATCTAATTATATGCCAGACTTATCGCTGTACTAACTTTCCTAATAGGGTTAATGTGCAGGGTGACTCATAGGCAAACAATAATACTTTAGACTTTAAACACAATCATTCTCAGTTTGTTTTGGGCTTTTTTTAAAGCTGGTTATGTTTTGGTAAATTGAAATAAAAATTATAATTTAGTAGGTAAACTGAAATTAGGTTAATGTACTAAAACTTTAAGATGCTAAAATAAATAAAAAATAAATACATACATATATATATGTATTTACACGTTCTTGCGTGCTTATAGGTGTTGAAAGACAATTATGGCATTAATGGTCGATAATATCAATGTTTTGTTTGTTAAATAAAAAGTGTGACTTATTAAAATTTGAGCTTACTATTTAGAATAAATCGATAAAATCGTTATTTAACACTTTCGTGTTAAACTATATAAGGACTACAGGTCATAAGAATTCGTTTCTTTTAAATTGTTTTGAATTAAGAAAGAGATATTTCCTGAAACCACGTCTAACTGATGTGCTAAAATTGATCAGAACTGTTTGGGATGTAAAAGTCTTGCTATCTGGATCCCAAAGTATCAATATCGATAAAAAAAATGCTTTTTTTGGTTAGCAGACACAGTTTTAAGTAAAATCAATAAGCTACTACCACTTCTCTTAGCTTATGATAAAAACACTAGGTGATACATATTCGTGTATTCTTAAAAAGGCGGAAGGATTATTTTGTAGTATTTTTTTTTTTCATTTTAATATGTATTAACACAATACATCTGCTAAAAACTGCCCCGGACTGGCAGCAACATAGACTACATTCTCACCTAATCTAATACAAACGTTATTATAGTCTCCCAAATAGACTCCTGAGCATACCGCTGCTTAATGCAATTTTTCTTACTTAGGCGTCGGTTAGGATGGCCTCAGTGCCTTAAGCGAATTTTATTTATTTTTTCAATAATTAATGTCCAATTGTCAAAAATGTTTTCTGAAATTTTAGAGTCTATGTTCCAATTACTTTCACCATAAAATCAAACAACACATAATATTTCATGCCAAAAATTATAAAAAATTTCGTTTTGACCAGCGTTGTTTTTAAAGGCTCTCATTTTATAATATGACGTGAACTTAAACTTTTTTTTTTTTTTTTTGTTTGATTTCGAATCAGCCGATGGCCAGCTGAAAGGGGACATTGAAACAAAAACAAAGTTAATATATCTTTAAGCATGCAATTTATCATGAAAATATATTTTAAAAATAATCTATAAAATTGTGAAAAAACTGTTCAAGCACTTTTTATTTGAGTTTTCTAATTTGTTTTATTGCATTTAAAATAAATAAAAAAACGGTGATGCTGACATTAAATTTTATATTCTAAATCTATAAACATACAATCATAAATAAGCCAGTACGCCGGGTAATTTATAGACCTTGAAAAAATTGCCGCCTTCAGTTGCATTTTCCGCAACCAAACAGTTGAAGATACACCAACATAAATACATATTATATACACATTTTTTGAGTTGAAATTAGCCACAAAATAAGCATAAATAAATGGATTTTGCAATTAAGTAAATTTTCTGATTTAAAAGCGAAATAAAATCGTGTATTTAAATGCAATATTTGTCTGTTTTTCCACCAATCTCATGAAATATATCAACCTTTGATATATTGTGTGTGGACATCAATAAGAGTTTTTAGAAATGAGACAAGTTGGCGCTGACGAAAACGTTAAAAAACATCTTCGAGAATATGGTACATTAAATTAAGCAACTTTATTCTTTATTTTTTTTAAGAGATAATATTTCAGTATTTTAGTTTGCTATAAAATATAAGATTTTCGTGCATGCGTGTCACGCACTGGTACGCCTAAAGGTATGCTACAGTTTTCATTTGATTTGCATGATCTGTTATTACACTGCCATATCGACGCCGATCTTACGAATAAAAATGCCTCAACTCACGCATAGTAATTTATTCATTCCATCTATACAAATAATACTATAGAAATCTAGAAATCGATTTGTATAAAAATTATCACTTTGTTTTCGGTTTTATTTTCAGCTTTATATGTTATTCGTACTATTTAATATTTTTGTAAATCCATGGCAATAATGAGGTGATTCTCGTATACACGCCCGGATATTCGCCTTTGCCACAGCCAATGCCCCACGACACGATGCCGACCTGTGTATAGCGTCCGCCCTCATTGACGATCAAAGGACCGCCAGAGTCACCCTGAAAGAGGTAAACTTGAGTATTAATCTATAAGTATTTCCAACAAAATAATAAACATTTAAAAATAACGAACTACATGATTGGATTAATGTCGGTACATAGAGAACAAAAGACAATCTTAAAGAAAAAACTAAGTAAATTCAGTATTTGGGACTTATGCAATCATGAGCAGATACGAACTGGTTGAATTTTTCTTGGATTAATTCGTAATCTGCTTAGACTAAAATTCTCACGCATTTACCTTAACATCTCTCCTCTTCTAACATTTATATATACGTACATATACGAGATCAAATTAACTGCGGGTCCTAGTTTTTAGCTTTTCTTGAACGACGAACGTAAGCTCTAATGAAAATAATAGATACAAAATTCTTTCCTTAGCCTAGTCTAAAACTCCCAGAAAATGGACTTTGCCACTATCACAGACCCATTTTTAAGGGATCGCTATGTGAGTCTAAAATATCTCCAAGTCTAAAGTCGAAATAACAATTTTTTTTCTAATTATTTTTTTAAATCCACTTACACTACACGAATCCTTGGACGCCTGGCCGGCACACACCATCGATTCGATGATGCCACCCGGCGCCGCACGTCCATATTTCCGCGCGCAATCATGATTCGCCCAAATGGGTATCTGTACTTTCTGCAGAATTGACGGCTGTGGACCGTTCTCACGCAAGCTGCCCCAGCCTGCAACTGTTGCTACCTTACCGCTGTAGCTACGACTCAACTGACTGCTTGAGCTGGGCAGGCAAATGGGTTGGACCTCATAAGTGAATTTTATGGGTTCATTTACAGTCAATATGGCGATGTCGTTGTGCTGGAAAGAGAGAGGAAACCATTTTACTTTAAAAGTATCCATTTAAGCTACAACTATTTCACCTACCAGTGTGCTAAAATCGAAGCCTTTGTGACGCACCAAACGTTTGATACGGCGTACAACATGTTGTACCTCGTAATTGGTACGTATATCGTAGTCGCCGAGATGTGCCGTCAGTGCCGCCACATCCCACGAGGTCATTCTATAAATTATCAAAGTGAATAATCATAACAAATGTCATAAGTAAGGCCGAAATGCCAATAGCCAAAGCAATACCCACCTGGAGACACAATGCGCCGCTGTCAAAATATGATTATTCGTTATTACACTGCCACCACAAAACTGTTTGCCCGATTTGAATAATACCGCAATCCATGGGAATTCATTCGGACTGGCATTTGTGCCGCCCACAATACGTTCTTGATCCGGCGCTGCGGGATTCTTAATGCCACATTGTGCAGGCAAGCCGTAATTCGACGAGCCGCTTGAAATCGGTGTGGTCGGACGTCGCGTTGTTGTTGTGGGAGCAGCAGTTGGACGGTACGTCGGGTAGCTGGGGTAATTTGGGTAGCCAGGGTATGCTGGGTAACTAGGATAGCTTGGACGGCGTGTCGTAGTCGGCACCGGACGTGGTGTAGTCACAGCTGTTGGACGTCGTGTAGTGGTGCGACGTGTGGTTACTGACGGTGAGTTTGCTGGCGTGCTTGGTTTTGTGGTCACCGAAGCGTGTGTTGGATAATGATGATTGGGTGGATGTGTTGGAAGTGGAGGCGGCCAGACGGCGGCCGATGGTGGATGTGTCGGCAACGGTGGTGGCCATTGGTGCACGCTAGAGAATTGATTACCAAATTGGTTCGGCCATTGGTAAGCGAATTCATTGTAGAACGTTGCCGGTTTTGCTGTCGTCGTTTCTGTTTTCTCATCCACATCTTCATTGATGGGATCGTAAACGACATTGGTGTCTGGCTTATCAGCACTTGTCGGCTTATGCAAAGGGTCGACTAATGGATCGACTTCTGTAGGATGATCCAACTCAATAATATCTTCTTCATCCTTATCTTCCTCAAACTCCTCCTCGGCTAGCGCTGGTTGTGTGGGCGCTGTTGGTTCGACTGGTGGTGTGGGCAGCGGACTAACACCGCCTGGATAAATGAAAGGTGGAAACACGCCAGCACCAGGATAGGCACCACCCACAAATGTGCCTGTACAGCAGATGCCCGTATTTGGCCGTCCGAACTGATCATAAAAACTGCAGACATCCTGTCCTATACTCGGCACTTGTGGCCACTGACGTAGATTAAGAAAATTAAACTGCCGTTTGGCGCGATAATACGGCTGACAGCCAGTAAAGCGCATACAAATGCCGGCATAACCGCGTGCAGTAATGCATTTGCCACCTTCAGTGCCATAATTTGTGAGCAACAATAGGGAGGGATCGTAAAAAAGCTGACGTCGTCGACGTATTTGCTCATCGGAGGAGTTGGTAACCGCTGCTACCAAATACGTAGCATCTTCAGGAACTGCAAAGAAAAGTTAAAACTTGAGTAGAATATCAGAAGAAATGTGATCATTTAAGCGCTGTATCAAAATGTTTGTCCTCATTTATAAAAACTAACCAAATTTTGTGACCCAATTTACAAATCTTGAGTGTGCCTTGAAGTCAAAATTGCACACTTAAAAATTAATTTAAGCAACTGAAGGCAATCAATTAAGCGTGTCTACTTTTATGGCAAATAAAGATGTAGATAAAATGTAGAGATCTAATTTATGTATTTCAAGTAGCTACTTGAGCTTTTGCCAGTGGCTCATTAAAGAAGTCGTTAAATGGCTCGTGTGGGCTAACATATATTGGTGAAAGAAAGATAGCAATTATGAATATAAATTTCTTTCTTTTCTTGTTTTTTAATGAAGCTATTTAGTATTTGACAAGCGTTGGTTTAATAAGTAAGCTGTCATTGAATGGATCAAGCTCAAGGGTTACAGAATATCTTAGTTTGTCATGCTCAGTGTCTATATATGTTATTTCGACTGAGCTTTCTTTAACAGAACTCAAAAGACTTTTTGGTCCCAGGTAATTGATGATGATTTGCACATAAATTATCATTTTATTTAAAAACCCATTTGTATACCCTAAACAGAGAATATTAAGTTTGCCACGAAGTCTGTAACACACTAAGGAAATGTCGAAGATCCTATTAAGTATATATGTAAAAGTCGCTGAGTGAAAAGTCAGCTGAGTTAACTTAATCATGTCGGTCTGCCTGTCTGTATATACTCAAACTAGTCACTCAGTTTTTGAAATATTGATTTGCTAGTAGCTCCTCATTTGTCGAAACCGCCAATTTTGGAACACTTAATTATATTACGAAGTTATATGCCACTTTTCTTATTCTAATAAGTAGAGATTACTTAGGATGATGAATCTTTCTATGATTGTCCGGCTTTTTACTTTATGTTTGATTTGTAAAAAACGAAGTAGATAGCAGTACCACATAGTTCAGGGCCTGGCTGTGCATATACAAATACGACGCCAAATTCAATACCGTCTCTCAAATCCATGTTAAAGTGCACCTTTGACCCATTTATATAGGAAGAACTCATGTTGAACCTAGGGCAGGTATAGCTGATCACTAGGCTGGTTAAAACGTGCCGTGTGAATGGTTGCATATTTAGCTCTAAAAGTGGTATATGTAGCACGATAATATTTGACGATAACTTTGACACAATTGTGTGAGTCCTGCGTCACAGCTAATCAGCTACTCCATAAAGCAAGTTGAATGACCAGATATGTATTTACTTTAGTGAAACATTAAAAAAAAAACACTTTTTACGTTAGACCACAAACAAAAACATCGCCTTGTCTTAAACAATATTGTCGACAGCGGTTGCCTTTGTTGGCATAGATTACTCAGTATCGCCAATATATGGTACTTAAATGGTCCGGCCGCCGGTGCCATGCTGAATGCCAAATTGCTGCTTGCGCTGTGGGGTAAGCCAGTCAAGTTTCTTCACCTCACTCTATGCTTCTTTCCTACGTTATGCTTATTATTTTTTTTTTTATTGATTCATATTGTAAATAAGCGCACGCTTCACAGATATTTCTTTTGTTTTAATTTTTCTATGATTTTTTCATGATTCCCCAGCTTTTACCAAAATGTCAGCAAATCAAACACTAAATTTATATTTACATTTGTATTCAGTTAGTTGCGAAACCATTTATGTTTATTTGTCAAATAATTTGACAGCTACATGATTTAGAATCTCAATATATCATTTGTGTTTTTCTCTCTTCTGCTCATTGTTATAGGTTTGGGTTGTTAAATATTATGAATTAAGTGAGTGTTTGATAATTCGATGATAGGTATTAATAAATATTGTAAACAAATACAAATTTATATATACTAGATATATACATAAATAACAATATGTGGTATTATAGTAAGAGGGGCTTGTCAATATATATATGATTTGCTGGCAAGGGTTTGAGAAGCTTCTTATTTTTCTGGAATTTATTAAGTCATTTTCAATTAAGAATTACCATAAGAGAAACGTATGACTTCCAATCAATTCACTTTTTTTTTGCAGCCAAACTAAATTATTGCACCATTATATAGCTATTTCAATATTAGTTATTTCGAGAAGATTTCTTTCTTTCGAGCTTTTGTTAAGTTCGCTGAACTCATTGATAATAAATATTGACCTTTCTTATACGTGCTTTGCATTCATATATCAAAAATTATAATATTTACAGTTTTACAAACAAATATATTTTTTACTCTTCTGTTTCTTTATATTATGGCTATAAGATTTTTTAAAGAATTTTAGCCAAAAAATGGCAACGCTACGCAAGAATTATTACAGCAATCTTCATATGAATACAAATTTTTAAATATGTGCGTTAAATATTTATTAGTACGATCACGTGTGGGCCGCGTATGAGTAGTATATATATATCTTAAATATATGTACAGTGTATAGGGTATATTAAGATTGCCACGAAGTTTGTATACCCAAAAAGGAATGTCGGAGACCCTTTAAAAAATATATAATATAAAAATGATCCACGTGGCGAGCTGAATCGTTTTAGCCATACCCCTATGTTCGTCTACCTGTACGAGTATATACTCGAGCTAGTGCTTCAGTTTCTAGGATATCGAAAATGCTGGTTTATCGGAACCGCCGATATCGGACCACTATATTAAAAAGCTGTCATAAAAACTACTCGATCAAAATCAAATCCTTTTATAGACAACTTTTTTATCTGACAAGATATATTGACGACATTTTGCAAACATTATTTTTTAAGGCAACATATTGTTCGGATCAGACTAGTACAGCACATAGCTGCCATACAAACTGACCGATAAAAATCGAGATAACGATTTCTTTTATACCGCTTTTATGCTATAAGAAATGCAGCTGTGAAAAGTATAATAGCTTCGGTGCAGTCGAAGTTAACATTTTTCTTGTTTTTATAAATATTTGAATTGTAACATGTTAGGTTCAGGCGAAATATTCCGTTATAATACGAAAGGCAAAGATTTTCAAATGATGCCTTTGAGTTCTTTGTAAGATCTCTGAATATCAATAAGCCTATCTAAATTTTAAAATTGTTTTTGTTCCACGTTTCTGAGTCCAAAGTTTTGGAATCTTTAAACCTATTCTAGAAGGCCAACGAAAATTGGAGGAGGTTTATACAGCTACGAATATATTTGTATAAAAAAATATCAATTTGAAGAATGAGTGAAATCAGATGAATAAGTAGGCTAAATGTAAAAGTATCGCTTCCAAGAATTGCCGAAAAAATGGAATTGACACAACCCAAATTGGTTAAAAAAAATATCAGTTTGCAGAATATGCCAATAAAAATAATGTTAACGAACACATTTAAAAACAATTTTCATCGATATTGTTATTTAGTGTCAACAAATTCCAGTTTCTAAACAATACATATGTATATTTACATATATATAACATATATATATGGTAAGTATAAATATTCTCATAACCATATTCCAACGGTTTTTGCCAGTGATGAATTACAAATCAATACGAAAATACAACAAATTTGTAGTGAAATAAAAGCGTCTTGAAAAAGTACCGTAAGCATTTAAAAGAAAACGTAGACTGTCAAAAAAGAACTAAATCAAAGAGCACACCACAAAAGGCACCCAAAGGATGACAAATTTATGTGTAAACAAAAAGATTTCGATTTTCTGGGTCACGGGCCATAATATTACAGCAGACAGCTCGCGGGGAGCCACCGGTGGCCCCCACAATGTACAGATATTATGTATATGTTTTGCGACTCTTGTTTGCTTCGCATTCCAGCATGTTCCACACGCGCAACCCACTGGCGTTCTACCGGCGTTCTAAAAACAATCATACATACACATATATACTTATATATATATACAAAAGGTACAAAGTACACAACAATCTGTTCACATATCCCATTGTCAACTGCAATGCGCAAAAGCAAAAGAAAGTACTTCAAGTGAAGTAAATATGTATGCATGTATGTATGGATGTATATTTGAATGTATGGATGTATATTTGCATGTATGGATGCATACTTGCATGTATGTGTATGTGTATTTGTATATATGGAAGTGAAGACATTTTTTATAAAAAACATATTCACACACAACTTAGGAGCGTGGCAGCAATCTAAGTGGCAACATTTACGACTTTTGACTAATTTGTTTTTGAGTTATTGTGGGCATAAAGAATCTAGCCTTTCTGTGTTTATATGTATGGTTTATTTGTTCGCACTTGCACTACTTGTACATATTAAACAGTTAATCAATTTGTTCGCCTTGTCGCCGACCATAAAGAGCAGGAATCCCATTAATTTGACACCTATGTATGTAAGTTTTGCGAACTGTGTATACGCGCTGTTCTAGAATGCTTGAGGAAGAAGAAAAAGAAGGAAGAACTAGCAATGGTTGTGGCGGTAGTTTGTTGGAAAAAAGTTCGATTAAACATATTGGAGTGGTAAACAAAGCAACCTGATGAAAGCTGGTACTGTCATAGTTTTAGCACCATATGATGTATATTGATATGACATATACATCAACAATTTTTATAGTATTTATACTTTCAACGAAAATCGTATGAAATTGGTTAATTATACCCTGAGCAGGGAATATCAAGTTTGCCACGAAATTTGTAACACCCTATAAAAGTATTTGTATAATGTACGAGTACGAGTCGACTTAATCATATCCGTCTGTAAATATGGTATATACCATATATGAACTAGTTCTTCAGTTTTTAAGATATCGATCTGAAATTTTTTACATGCACTTTTCTCTCCACAAAGCTGCCAATTTGTCAGTACAGCCGTTATCGCACTACTATGTCATATAGCTGCCATACAAGGTGATAGATCAAATGTCTTGTGATCTTGTATGGAAAACTTTTTTATTTGATAAGATGTCTTCACAAAATTTGGTAAAGATTTTTGTCGAAGATAACGACAAAAACTCCGAACAAATGTTTCAGATCGGTTTACTAT